TGTGTGTGTGTGTGTGTGTGCTTATATTAGTCTTGCATTTCCATTTCAGTGCGACAAATAAACCTGAAATTATATCAGCAATTTTTTTTTATTATTTGATTCTCCTAAGGGCTAAATAGTAATATTATTTAATTTTAATATTTTGTCATATCATTTTCATGTTAATAATTTTTTTATATTTTTTACATATATTATATATTCAGTGTTTAAATTTGAATTTAAAATGAACTTATATGAATATATTTATAATGTTTTATATTTAACTATTTATATTTATGACATTAGCTAAACACAGTTGGCTGAATTAACTATGTGTGTGATGAGGAAAGGTTCTTAACTCTTATAAAAAAGATTCCAAAGGTATGTTTTCTCAGCGATGTCATAGAAGGACCATTTTTGGTTCCGCAAAGAACCTTTTAGTGAACAGTTCTTAAAAGAACCCTTTTTTATGTGAGGTTTTACATATATATATATACTTTTTTCCAGTATAAAGAACATTTTCTATAATGGAAAGTTCCCATGGATGTTAAAGGCTCTTCATGGAACCTTCGATGCCGATAAAGAACCTTTCGTTTTTACAGTGTTTTGGGAACCCAAAAATGTTTTCATGGGCATCACTCTGAAGCCCCATTATTTTTAGGAGTGTACTATTTTAAAATTGTACGTATTATACAGTGTATGTATGAATGCTTGAATATTTACAGTATCTCAGACTGCTCGGTCATTGGTTGGCTATCTTTGTTTTTATCTTTAACCTTGAAAGTGCTCTGTAAAGATGTGATTATCTCCTAACAGTATGGATAACGATCCCCTCTCGTCTTGTCCTCTCTTATCTCGCTCAGGTGGCTGTATGCACATGGTGTGTCCGCGTCCACAGTGTAAGTTTGAATGGTGTTGGTTCTGTCGTGTGGAGTGGAACAGAGAATGTATGGGCAACCACTGGTTCGGATGAGTCGGATACGCTCTCACCATCAGCTGAAACTCAGGAAATGAAGCCAAACCTCTAATCATTAGCACTATTGTGAGGTATATATCATGAAATGCTGCTGACATTCAAAAGTATCTGTGGTAACCACAAAAAAATAAGGGTGTGATGGAATCATATTCTAGTGTTAGTCAAATGTTTTTAATGAAATCCTGAGTCATGTTTTCTTTCAAGTCATCGAAATCCAACATATTTGTTTTGCTCATGGGAGTGTTGTTGTATTACTGACTGCACTTAATAATCACGATGAAAGTGATTCAGGTTTTTTCTCACCCCAATCTAGCTTTTATATTTTTATTTATTTTTTTTAGAAAAATGTATTTATTCCTGTAATGGTAAAGTTGCATTTTCAGCATCATTACTCCAGTCTTCAGTGTTACATGATCC